TGAGCCAAAGTCTACATATCATGAACTACTTGACCCAGGTATGGTTGGTTCACCAGCTGCAAATACTGGAATTAGAAGAGATGTACAAGAAGATCAAGATGAAAATACTCCTCTAGTGGATAATGAGTCAGTAAATGAAGAAGAGCAAGCAGATGAACAGAATAATTCAGAACCACCAGAAAAGCCTTAGTTGAGAAGATCCACTAGAGTGCGTCAACCTTCAGTAAGATACTCCCCTACTGAGTATGTAATGATTACAGATGGGGGAGAACCAGAGAATTATCAGGAGATTTTGTCTCATGAGAAGAAACAAGAATGGTTAAAAGCCATGCAAGATGAGATGAAATCCTTACATGAGAACCATACTTATGATCTGGTAAAACTTCCAAAGGGTAAGAGGGCCTTGAAGAATAAATGGGTTTTCAGATTGAAGAGTGAAGAAAATTGCTCACAACCACGGTACAAGGCAAGATTGGTTGTGAAGGGATTTAATCAGATAAAGGGTGTTGATTTTGAAGAAATTTTCTCACCTGTTGTGAAGATGTCGTCTATCAGAGTTGTTTTGGGATTGGTTGCTAGCTTAAACTTGGAAATTGAACAACTTGATGTGAAGACCACCTTTCTTCATGGTAATTTAGAGGAGGAGATTTACATGAAGCAACCTGAAGGCTTTGTGAGACAAGGTAAAGAAGATATTGTTTGCAGGTTGAGAAAGAGCTTATATGGACTCAAACAGGCACCCAGACAGTGGTACAGAAAGTTTGACTCCTTTATGGAAGCTAATGGGTATAGTAAGACTACTTCTGATCACTGTGTGTTTGTAAAGAAATTCTCTGATGATGATTTTGTTATTCTCCTGCTTTATGTGGATGATATGTTGATTGTTAGCCATGATGCTGCTAAAATCAACAAGTTGAAGAAAGAACTCAGTAAAGCTTTTGCTATGAAGGATTTGGGTCCAACTAAACAGATCCTTGGCATGAAAATCATTCGTGACAGGAAGAATAAGAAGCTTTGGTTATTCCAAGAAAATTACATTGAGAAGGTTTTAGAGAGATTCAACATGAGCAAAGCAAAACCGATTGTATCTCCACTTGCAGGTCATTTCAAGCTTAGCTCCAAGCAATGTCCTACAAGTGAGAAAGAGAAGGAAGAAATGAAGAATGTGCCTTATGCATCCATAGTTGACAGTTCGATGTATGCTATGGTATGTACAAGGTCAGATATAGATCATGTTGTTGGTGTTGTTAGTCGCTTTCTCTCTAATCCAGGATAAGAACATTGGGCAGCTATGAAATGGATTCTCAGATATCTCAGAGGTACTTCTAGAGTTTGCTTGTGCTTTGGAAGTAACAAGCCAGTGCTAGATGGTTATACAAATGCAGACATGGCTGGTGACATTGGCTTTAGAAAGTCTACATCAGGGTTCTTGATTACCTTTGCAGGGGGAGCTGTTTCGTGGCAATCAAAACTGCAAAAGTGTGTTGCTTTGTCTACTACTGAGACTGAGTATATTGCTATTATTGAGAGTTGTAAAGAAGTATTGTGGATGAAGAAGTTCCTACAAGAGTTGGGCCATAAGCAAGAAAAAATTTCTCTATACTGTGACAACTAGAGTGCAATCCACCTCAGTAAAAACTCTACTTTCCACTCACGTTTTAAGCATATAGATGTGAGGTATCATTGGATTCGAGATGTGCTGGAGATGAAGTTGCTACAACTTGAGAAAGTTCACACTGATAATAATGGCTCAGATATGATGACCAAGACTTTATCAAAGGAAAAGCTTGTTGTTTGCAGGATGGCCGCTGGCATGGGGTTGCCACCCTCCACGTGAGAAGTGAGGGGGGAGATTGTTGGTTGGGCTCCCTTCCCACGTGGAGGGCCCACTATATAAAAAAAAGGGCAGAAGTCGAAGAGGCTCATAACTGTCTTTGCATTAGCAAAGACAGTTCTGAGCAAATAAAAACTTGCTCGGCAAGTTGAGGGGAGAAGGAACGGTTCGGTGAAGTCTTCCACCGAAAACAAAACAGAGTACAGAGAGAAAAATAGAGAGAGAGAGAGAGGGAGGGGAAAGGAGAAGTGAGTTTTTGTGGGCTTTCATGGGCTAAGAACATAGAATTTGCGTGGCATCCCTTTCTGCAATCACCTTGAGATTTTAGTATGCAGTTGATAGCGTCTCAAGCTGCACATCTACTGGTTTGATTTGCTATTCCTCTTCTCTATTATCATTTTGGAGAGATTTATTTTTGTCTCTGAGTTATTTGGTGATATGTGATGAAATCCACCTTTGGGTGAGTAGTTGATGCTGATAGCCTCTAGATTTAATGCTAGAGAAGAACTTTGCTGTATCCCATTAATTTTTAGTGGAAGTTTTTGAGTGGCTAGTTGCCTGTGGTTTTTTCCTTCATTTTGGAGGGTTTTCCACGTTAAAATCTTGTGTCTTTATTTGTGGATTGTGTTTTTGTTATTACATATATTTTCTATTTGGTTGATATTGTTTGGCTTGCATGCTCATTTAATTGCACAAAGAGGGAAAGAGAATTATTTTGCTTCAGTTCAGATATATTTTGYTATTTGGCTATTGTGAGATATCATGTTTTTCCCAACAGAAGAAACAGTGGAAATAGGCTTTTGTATGGATGTGGAGGCAGAGAACTTGATTTGCCACCCACTCCCTTCTTTTCAAAACTCCATTTGAAGACCATAGATCGTCAATTCCTCTTATAAATCAAATAATTTTTTTTTTCAGTTTCATATCAATCAATTTCTATCTGAATCAAAGCTTGGCCATGAATTCTAAATCCTTGTACCAAACCCTAAGCCCATTTGAGAGAGAGAGAAACAGAGAATGTTGTAGTTGTAGAGAGAAGAGAGAGAAAATGTTCTTTGTTGCATGTTGCAGAAATGAAACTTACCTCAAGCCTTGAACGGCACAGCTTACCCTTATATCTGAAATTTTGAATCCTGAATAACCTCTCTAATATTTCGAACCCTAAGAAGTTCACTCTAACTCCCTAACAGCCTAATGGATATCCTCGACCCAACCCATCCTAACTCTTTTCCCCTTGACCCTAATGAATCACTTGACCCCACATTGGCCCATTGTTCAAATGGGTGGATTGGGGTCAAGATTGCCCATCCTAGCTTCTACCATGGTCGTAAGAGATGTAAGCTCCAATTTCTTACATATATATAATAGGGCTCATCAAACCAAAGTTAATTGAAAAAGTCTAATTGAACGGGCTCTCTCATTTGGTATGTTACCCTTTTTTTTTTTTTTGGGGGGGGGGGGGTCTCACAATTGTGATGCTGCACTACTCAACCATATCCTCCTCAATGCATGGTGTCTAAAACATATTTTAGTGGATTTAATTAAATGGCTAACAATCCTAATTAAATCTTGTTCAACAGTAATCGTTCCTCCCCCAGTTTCAGACGCTTCTGAGGGTTATATTTTTCATTTTAGTTTTAAATCTGGTAAGGCGGAGCCTTCTATGATCAGAGGGAGGAATCTGTTGAAGGCTGCGAAAGAGTCGAAAGACCATAAACAATTTCTGAACTCAAATGATGCCTCTCATCAGAGGGAGGAATCTCTCGCCATACTCTTTATCCTCCCAACAAAAAAGAGCAACTAACCTTTCGGAGCCCACACTCTGTCTTCTACGATCCATTCCCAGTTAATTCTTCTCTCTCTGACATGTATTCAATTTCAGGCATTTAGAAAACAGCAGTCACTATGAAATATGATGCTACTTTTCTATGTTTTATATATAATATTATAGCTTTAGGTAACTTTAGGGCTGCAATTGCTGCTTGCTAGGCCCCGTCTGGGTTCCAATCTTTTCTTAAAGCATAAAATAAAGGAAAAGCATACCCATAAATCAAACCCCTTTTTTCGTCATTCCTTAGTATGGCAGGCGTCCTCCTGATTCATCAGGTCAGCATGTAAAAAGCCTATTTCCCCCACCCAACATCTAAAATATCAGAGTGAAGAGATCCCGGTAACCAAGAAACAAGAGACCCTTGAAAAGGCATTACTGCTCTGACCACCGTGGATTTCACAATCCCCATTACTTGGACGGTGTCGATGCAAAGTGTAAACAACAAAAAATGCGTACTTGCTCTTCTTCATCTCATCATTTTTCTCACTGGGCCGGTTGGTATTATTCTTCATGTGCAGAGGCAATGAGATTAAATTAAGCCCTTAGCTCTATCTCTCTTAAATTATATAAAATCATAAATAATGAAGCCTGCAGGAGACCCTCTTCGCAGAAGGACCCCAACATCAACAACAAAGCTACCTTCCTCCTTCCCATGCTCTCAATTGCATTGCCACCCTCTTTCATTATGGCTTCCTTTGCTTTATTAATCAAATTCTCATTGAGCTTTTTCCTCAGACGATATGGACTTCTCCCTTTTCACCAATCTTCCTTAAATGCTACTATCGTGCATGATCTTTGCTGTTCGTTAGATATACATATAATTTAATTATTAGGGGGGCAGTTGCTTTAAAATTGAGTAATCGAAGGATTTCACAAGTAGGGAGTATGATTGGATCACGAAACAATGCTCGTGGGATTTGGTTGCTTTTCTTTTATTTTATTTGGTTGGCAAGCCAAAAGGAAAAGGTGAAGCCTAGAAAGAAAGCTCTCCCGTGACACTCTCTCCAAAGGCAGAAAAAGAAAGCAAATAACATCTTTCAAAGGGGTAAATCTCAAAAGAGCTCTTATGCCGTGGATTATGGGTGAAAAGTGGGTAATCTCATTCAAGGCAACAACCATACAGCTAGCCACAACCCAACACTGCTTGTTCTTTCGACTCTAATAACTATCCATATATATATATATATATATCCACCCCCAATTACATCAAACACTAAGCCTCACATCTGAAGTAGATCTAAGGGTTGATGGTTGTTGCCAATGTACGTACCTTCGCTTGCCCAAGTGCTCTTTGCTCTATTGCTCATTAATATAAAAAGTAAAAAAAGAAAAGTAAAAGGGTAGAAAAGCTGTCAATTTAATTTCTCCTTCCTTTTATAAACAAAGAAAAACATACTCCAAGATCCAAAGCATACACACCAGCAAATACAAGAAGAGGAAGAAGAAGAAGAAGAAGAATGAAAGGAAGAGAAAATAAAACAGCTCCTCCGGCTGACCTCTTAGTCTGCTTCCCTTCTCGAGCCCATCTAACCCTCATGCCCAAGCCCATTTGCAGTCCTGCACGGCCCACTGAATCTTCCAAGCGCCGCCACCACCACCACCACCACCTCACCAGGTCTAACAGAGGTGGTCAGGCAAGCCCCCTCTTGTGGGCCAAAAACAAACAGCAGGCTGGCACGGAGATCGCAGAACCTACATCCCCCAAAGTCACCTGCGCCGGACAGATCAAAGTCAGGCCCAAGTCGAGTTCCAAGAACTGGCAGTCAGTCATGGAAGAGATCGAGAGGCTCCACAACAGTAGAAAACAGAAGAAGAAACCCACTTGGTTAGAGACACTTGGATTCAAGAAAGACATAATGCAATTCTTGACTTGTTTACGGAGCCTTCGATTTGATTTGCGGTGCTTTGGTTCCTTTCATGGGTCTGATGTCACTTCTGACGAGGAAGAAGATGAAGAAGAGGAGGAAGAAGATCAAGAAAACCAGGTAAGCACGCAGAGAAGTGATGGTAGTGGTGCTTCAAGAACCATCTTTTCCAAGTGGTTTATGGTATTACAAGAAAATCAGAACAATACGTTCAGTAAAGAAGAGAAATGCGGAGAAGAACGAGACCTGTCTTGTGACGAAGGATCAGTGGCCGCTCCTTCTGCTCCTCCTCCCAATGCTCTCTTGCTCATGCGTTGTAGGTCAGCACCCGCAAAAGGTTGGCTAGAGGCCAAACAACGAGAGCAAGAAGAAGAACAAGATACAGTAAAGAAAGAAAATTTGGCGTTAGAAGAAGAGAGGAAGAAAGAGAGCTTGGTATTGATGAGCTACGCTCCTGATTTCTTCAAGATATCTCCTGATATTGCCAAGGAGACTTGGGTTGTTGGTAGGATGAGAGATCCATTATCGAGGAGTCGAAGTTGGAAAAGATAATCGTGATTATCATGGTGAATAAATTCCTTTTCTTTAAATTGCATTTTATTTTATTTTATTTTTTTAAATGTTGATGTTAGTTGTTTTTTTTCCTCTGTCCTTTTCCTTTTTCGGAACATGTTCATCTCTCCGTCGAGAACCCAACAGCAGCTTCTAGCTAGTTAATTCGACGTACATATATATATATATGTACAGATTTTCTTTTCTTTATGGAATTGTATTTGTTGAAGCTGGATTTCGAGAAGATTATTGATAGAATTATCGAAATGATTATAGTTTTGTACGGATACGTTGAAATCGCTGATATGCATGTGTTTGGGCTTCCTAAACCAGACTGCTTGCAGTTGCAGGCTTCCCCCTCTTTGATTTGGCTATACACACAACGTAAGAGATAAACATCTCAGCGGAACTCAACAAATCCTTCGGGGTATGACCCCTGTTGCTCCATTATTCCTTACATCTTTTCTCACTATTTCAATCCATATTCATTTTGACTGAACTTAGGGCTACATGAAATCATGAATCCTGTTCCTTTGAAGTTTGAACAGAGATAGTTCATTCTCTCCACAACTTTGCGAATTATATGACCAGGACTACTGGCTTAAATTTTGCAACTAATATAATATGTATCACTGTTGACAAGGCAGAACCCCACCGAAGGAAATTTCACTTGAACAAATTTTCCATTGGTTGAAGTTGAACTATAATGTGGCGGGGTATATGACTATTTGGTAATCACCAAATGTGGTGAGCAGCAGTAGACCCACACTCAAATCAGTCAATCAATCAACATTCAAACAGAGCCTTGTCCCACCTTTATTGGGCTTTGGCCGTGCAATCCCCCGTCCAAACCAATCCATCCTACTCTTTTGGTGGGCACATCTCCGGCGTGGGCCGAACACACCCAGTTCACCCGTTGACATATATAACCAAACATAGGTGATAGGTTCGGTGTCTCAGTCATTTTTGAGTTCTAAATCGAAACTAAGGCTCTGTTTGAATAGACTTTTATAAAATATTTTTAAATTTTTAAAAGTATAAAAAATACGAAAAGTACGATTTAGTGTGTTTGTATTGTATATTTTGTGTTTTTGCTTTTATATTTCTTTTTATATTTTGTGCTTTTGGCGAAATAGTATTTTCATTTTCATGCGAACGGGTGGTCATGTGTGACCACCTTCCAATACAACTCTTAACCCGACCTCCATTTGGCACTACTGGAGTTACACCACCGTCATCGGCCACCAAATCACCGAAAACCGTCACCAGAAGTATGGACGAATGTACTTTTTACCAAATAAGAAATGGTTCTTTTCTTCCGAAAAATACTTTGTAAATTTTTTTTTACTCAAACGGTTTTCAAAACAAAAACACTAAATTAAAAACATTTTTTTTTTGTACTTTATACTTTAATACTGTTAAAAACATAAAAATAGAAGTCTACCCAAACAGCGCTTAAAATTGGCAAACAAATGAGTGATGAGCTCTTTGGCGTTCGGATCAATCCATTTTTCAATTTGTTAATTTGGTTGTAGTAATTACGTTACGTGACGAGGCAACAGCATGAGTATGTGGGTAAAATGTAGACACCGATCCATGCCCCGGCCGTAGGCCCTATGGGTCTCTGGACGTTGACGAAGGACAGCTGTTGGACAAACAATGTTTCCACTCGCCCCTAGGGCCCATTGATGCTCAAAAAGAGATGCTTGACCCATATGTTATGCATATGCTTAGACAAGGACAACCCATCTTCGTCTTCCTCCATAAATTTATACCTTAGTATATATATATATGTGCTTGCACCCAATCTGCAGACCTGGCTAATAGATGGCTACGACATTTTCCATGTAATCAATCAATGGCTACGACATTTTCCATTTTAATTTTAAACCAAATAGACAAATCATCATGTCCACAACTACCTTGAAGGAAGAAAAAGATAAGGGCAAAAATCGATCCCTTTGGTTAATTTTAGGGGCAGTTCCAGGTGGGAATAAACCCCTTGATTCTGTTTGGTGCTTCAAAATAAAACCGTGGGCTTTCAAAATAGATAGATAAATAAATGAATAAAATAAAAACGTGGGCTGGGCCTGAGTTTCATTTTTATGGGCACTTCTTTATTGTCCCAGTCTCCCAGTCCTTCGGGTTCTGTAATTAGACTATGTTTGGAAGGAGCAGGAATATAATTATATAAAATTAATGTAAAATCTTGTATTTTATATGTATTTGCACAGTATGTATTTGTATTTATTCTATTTCCAAACAATTTTACAAAAATGCAAATATAAATATATTCAGCTTAATTCCATGCGAAACAGTCAGTTATGCAAAAGCTTAATTCCGTGTGGGCTTCTTTTACATATTACTATATTAGAGTATGGTTATGGGCTTGATGGCATGGCAGGTCGTAATGACTAATTACAGGGATAGGGGCGGCCATGAGTCGAGTTCTTTATGAGTTATTTGAGTTCGGTTCGATTCGGTTTTAACCAAATTTCAAATCAAATTCAAATCTAATTTATAGACTTATTTATTAATGGAATTGAATTCAAGTCTAATAAAATTCAGCTCATGAAACAAGGCTGAATAGCTATATATTATAATAATAATAATAAAATAAAACCGTCAATTTATCGAAAAGGGATATTGATTACCTAGGTCATAAGATGGAACACAATTGTCCGGCACCTTAACCTACGCGTCTGTCTCCTGGGGGAAAGTTCCCGCAGGCCAGCTATAAATAAGAGCCTAGCTAAGACGATGATGCCACCTTAAAATATTGTAGGTACGTAAAAGAAGAGGGGTTTTTGCCCACAACGGTTGGAATTATGCCTAGCCTAACACTTGTTCTCATCTCTTCTAGAACTAGAAATGTCGCTCCACCAGAGTTACCACTTAACAGTGGCTCTTGTAGTGAAGGTCCTGGTCTTTCCCCTTGGCCGGCCGGCCAGTGGCCACGAGACCTACCTACGAGCTATTTACATGAAACACGAGCTGGGTTGACTCATCGGGTTAAGGTCAACCCTAGTCCAACCTATGATCAAGAATTTTAAATTAAATCTAGGGCTTTTATCTCCAATCCTAGGCACAGAAAATTTTGTGGCACATATACGTCTCATAAAATACCCTTGAATTGATTCAAACAAAATTTTAAAACAGATATCTGAATTTTTAGAGTGCTTATTGAATATGTTCACAATGGTGTGCCTACTGAATCTGCTCTCCTGTACAAAGAAAGCTTACGCTTGCATGCGGACTAGAGTTACGGGTTTAGCCTTGCGCAGTTGTGCATTCTGCTTCAAAGATTACCATTAATGGAAGTTTAAACTCAAATCGTAATTAAACTTTGCCAATGTTTAAAACTTGTGAAAATTCTGATTGAAAATTATAACTCGACTAGCTAGTGTAAGAGGTAGATGCCGAAAGTACGGTGGTAGGTGGGGAATAAAGGATTTTTGAAAATTTGAAGAGCATGGTGGTGATGTTGAAAACAGGGTTAGCATTGTTGATTGGGAAAATAAATAAAATATTGAGATTAAAGGTAAGGTCAGTCCTGAAAATGAGATCGGTAGGGGTGGCAAATTTCCCCATCCCGACGGGTACCCGGGCTCCCCGGCCCGATAGGGCCAGGGATGGGAGGTACCTTAGCAGGATTGGGGTCGGGGATGGGGACGAAGATGGGGAATGAAATCCCCGCCCCGACCCATTCCCGATTAATATTATATTATATTATATTATATTATATATAAGTATAATAATTATTAATTTATTTATAAAATAGTAAAAACTAAAAGTCTAAAACGTAATTCGAAGAAATCAAGAAAAGTTGAAAAGTTGGAAAACCCTTAACCCTCGACTAAACCAGTTTCCAGTCCTCATTCTTTTGTCTTCGATAGAGAAGACTCAAGAGAGGCGACTGAACCACAAAACTAGTAAACCCTAGTTTCGTCTTCGTTGCCGATTCGTTGACTGCCGACCACCAACCTCCGTCGTTGACTGTTGCCACTGCCCACTTGCCTGCCGGACATCGAACAAAGGAGAGGCCAGAGAACTGAGGAAGAGACTTCGTCTTCGTCGCCGATTCGTAGACCGCCGACCTTCATCATCGTCACCGACCGTTGTCACCATCGCTGTCACCCTTCGGACTCTCTCTCTCATCAGTCATCATCGACATAAACTCTCCCAAGTCCCAACGGTCCTCTCTCTCTCTCTCTCTCTCTCTCTCTCTTAGTTTCGGGGATTCGGGTCTCCGACCAGGAATTCATCCCCGTCGAAGTCGGGGATGGAGGGGGGATTCCTTTCCCTGTCGGGGATCGGGGACGGGGAAGGGGGTGATTTGGGGGTCGGGGTTGGGGATGGAGAATGTACTCCCTACCCTGAACCCGCCCTGTTGTCATTCCTAGAGATCGGATGTGCTCTCAGCATGTCTCATACTGACCTCACAACATGTTTCAGTTGTGCACCTAGAACATCTCCGTAATTGTAAATTTTTATTCATGGGAGTTGTTTCCTCTGAAATGTTCTGAGGCACACTCTATGACGAGCACATCCGAACTCCTTGAAAATAAGAGTTGGGGTTTTATTTTAAAAATCAAAGGAAAAAATTGCTACATTCACAACATACATATGTAGCATCTACATCTATATATTAAAATGGAATATGCCAAACTAACACTTTCTTGCCTTTTGATTTACTCTCAAAGCCACTCTTTTTTTGCTTTCTTCTCAAAGGCACCTATCTTTTTTCTGTTTTTTTTTTTATTTTTTAATTTTAAAATTGAACAAAATAACTCAAGTAATCAATCGCCTTTAAGATATTTAACACTCATCATTAACACATTATTATCTCTCTCTCTCTCTCTCTCCCTCCTAACTCATGCCACTAATATATATATTGCATTAAGCCGTAATTATCAGTAAAGATTAATTATATTGAAATTGAGATATTTAATTATATATTATTTCACTAAATAATATATTTTTATTTAAAATTATAATCCATTTATATTCCATTTAAAAATAATAAAATTAATTAGCCATACTAAAAATAATTTAATAAGTTTCTTAAATAAAATAAAAATAATTATTAATTATTGTTATTGATTAAAATATTTTTACTAATATAATAAACAGATATCAATTATTAATTAATATAAAAAGAATTTAATTACCAAAATGAATAAGATAAATTAAAAAATATATCATTGTAAAATTAAAACAAAACTAATATAAAATTATCAAACAATCATTAGTTTTATAATTAAATTTTATTAATTTAAAACCA